TCTCTCTCTCTCTCTCTCTCTCTCTCTCTCTCTCTCTCTCTCTCTCTCTCTCTCTCTCTCTCTCATGCAGTTTTCATGGTGCTTCCGAGCATGCATGCTCACGCTTTCTCTTGAACGTCAACCCGCCAACCCGCCAACCATCCCTATGGCGGGTGTCTGGCCTCAGGCCCTAGTCCCTGAGGATGCCGGAGGCCGACGAGTCTTATGCTGGGAAACTAGTCAGTTGTGCGATATTTTTGCTTGGAAACTAGGGGTTCCCCGTAAAGCGGCAATGAAACATATATTTTTGCAAAGTAAACTTCGACCGGACTATATTTTTGCTGTGAAACTTAGATAAAGCAATATTTTTGTAATTAATCCTCAAATATAGCAAGAAAACAGCCCTGTGAGAACCCACCCAGCCAATCTCCCACAGTGTGGTGGCAACTCCTCTACCGGTCTGAGCTACTCATGCCTTGCCTCCATTTATACTAGTCATCCTACTCCTACCCTTCCCTTCTCCATACTTCTCCCTTTGGAGGAAAGGTGATCCCTTTAGAGACCATAGAAGTCCCCGGCTCTCGGACGATAGCGTCTCCCACCTATCCAGCCCTCCCTCCCTATCAATCAGGCATGTTCTCTCCCCTACATGCCTGTATCCATATGGCAAAACTCGGCTAAATTGCGAAATGGCGGAATACCTACCCAGAGTACAGTTTTGCAAGGAAAATGAGCAATAGCGAGATGACAATAAGCAGATTGCACAATCACAACGAAGGCCAGATAGTATCACAGTGTCCAGAAAGCAGAAATGCACCAATATAACACCAATGAAGATCCGTAACACTGAAAACCAATGTCAATGAGAGCTTGCTCCCGCCACCACCAACATGAGTGTCCAGGCCCTATCTCCCTACTTGGCGCTCGGCGCCCAGCCTACTTCCTACACAGCTATTCTCTGCCTACTAATTGACAATGCAACTGTTGACATCAGCAGCCTCCGAAGTACTTGAAGATGTCGCCCGTGCAGACCATCGCCAATACCAGGTATGTGCCCTCACATCATCATCATCATCATCATCCTTCTCTCTCTCTCCCTCGTCTTACTCCCACGTCTTCCCTTTGTACACCCGAAGACCACCCCTGCGCCTCAGTGTAGTCCAAGCCCAACCAGCTATGGAGGCTGGGCTATGGCGCTGCCCTCAGCAGCACCCTGTTCCCTGCACGACCGCACGCGCCAGCACCTCGCCTCTCAGCGCCAGCAGCAGCCCACGAGCGCCCGCTCCAGCAGCGCTGCCGCTAGCATGCGAGTGCCTGAATGAGGCTGCTGGTGGCGGGCTCTTTCCTATATGGAAAGGGCCTGCCTGCCTTCGCAGCCAGGCTGGACTGGGCCTGGGCCCAGAAGCTTCCGGTAGGGCCCAGGATGCTGCGCTTGTGTTGCAGCTACTGGGCCTTTTTCGGCTGGGCCTCTCAACTGTTAGTGTATGAGGCTGCGATTCTCGCCCAGGGCCTGCATTCTTGAGAAAGGCATGGAAGGCTGTGGAATGTATCACTGCTCGGCCTGTGTTTCCCTCAACCAACTGGCACGACGAAACTGCCTGGACCCCAAATACGAAATTGGCAGCTGAGGGCCTCTTGTGATTTGTTCAGCCCGCCTTCACTTAGGGCGGGCACATTTGCAACAGGGCTCCCTTAGGCCTGCCGAGGACCCAGATCCTCGCATTCCCTCCTCCTTTGCTTCGATAGTCCTCTGAGAAGTCTTCTAATCCGCAGGCATCTTTCCTTTTAGTTCTCGTTCGTAGCCTGCGATAATATGCAGTGCTGTTCTCATGAGTTCTTCTCTGGTGAACCACCGATCTTCCTTGGGATCCAGATGATGCCTGAATCTTACACCGTATTGCATTCTCGGCTTAGGAGGGCGGCCTCTGCCCGGTGGTCGTGGTACTGGCATCACTCGATGCTCCACGATCTGGTCGATGTCCACTTCGTCATTCATGGTTGGGGGCAGCATTGACCGTCTGGAAGGGAACTGTGCAGACTCTGCGAAAGGTGCCAGTTTTGAGTCATGGAATACAGGGTGTGTACGTAGATGTGGGGGAACGCGAATCACGTAGGAAGGCCCATCCTCTTGATCGCCCACTATGAGCGAGTAGTTGTTCCAGCAAACAGCAACGTTTTTCTTTAGAGATCACTCTCTAAGGTGGCCATCCCGACCCAAAAAGCAAAACAGATGTTGAAATAAAACAGGATCTCCTCCTCCTGCAGGATCAAAAAAAGTGGTATTAAAATTTCTATCAGTTAATAGCATAGTAATAGCACCTGCTAATACTGGAAGTGACAATAAAAGCAGAAAAGCTGTTAGCACAGACCAAACAAATAGAGGTAATCTATGCATGGCCATTCCTGGGCCACGCATGTTAAAAATCTAAGACCTCCCATGGACCAAAATACTGTGGCATTAGTTTCCTGGAGATACCTATTTTCTGTCCCAGTTCAGATGACTTAACCCAGAGTCTGTCCCCTACCTGAAAGTTAGAAGGTCGTCTATGCTTGCTCTCGGATGCAATCATGGCATCCTGAGACTTTCTAATATTTTCTACGGCCTGTTGCAGCATCTGTTAATATTTGACAGCGAAATCTATGCTGCCAGGTGCTGCAGTTGCCTGGTTTTCGGGCGGTAAGTAGTCAAGGGCGGATATGGGCTTCCAACCAAGATGTAGTTGGTTGGGAGTCCTGCCAGTAGTGCTGTGCACAGCGTTGTTGTACAGGCTGGTGACGATTGGTAGCTTCTCGCCCCAGTCGTCCTGACTGGCCGGATATAATGCTGAAGCATGTGCTGCACTACTCGGGTCATCTGCTCTGCCTGCCCATTTGACTCAAGGTGGTTCCCTGATGTCATTTGCAGTCTGGTTCCCATCTGCTGGGTTGTGCTTTGCCACAGTTCACTTGTAAAACGTACATCCCGGTCACTGATGATAGACTTAGGTAAACCAAAGTCTCGTACCCAATTATCCATGAATAGTCTGATGATGTAGTCAGTTTTAGCAGTCACCAAAGTCTCGTACCCAATTATCCATGAATAGTCTGATGATGTAGTCAGTTTTAGCAGTCTCCGGCATAGCGACAAGTCTTGCATACTTGGAGAAGCGGTCCACTATAACGAAGATGTATTTTTTCTCAGACCTGCTGGTCACAAGAGTATCCATGCAGTCCATGGACACACTCTGACCAGGACCTTCAGGGATCGGCAAGGGCTTGATGAGCCCAAGCGGAGCCTGAGTCCTAGGTTTGTCACGTTGACAGACCTGGCAGGTTTCAACATACTTTTTGGCATCTTCCATCATAGAAGGCCACCAGAATTTTTGTACTAGATTTGCTGAAGTTTTTCTATACCCGAAATGTCCAGTTGCATCATGGCACTCACCTAAAAATAAACTACGCAGAGACTCTCTAGTTGGAACACAATCTTTTACAAGTTTTATTCCCTGCCTTATCAAGAAACAACAATCCATTGACCAGCACAAACTCATCGGAGGTGGCTTTATCCTTAGCCTCCAGTTTGCGAATGATCTCAGACAAAACTGGATCTTCTCGATACGCTTCCACCAGTGATCGAGTGAGTTCGTCAGATATGCCAAACTCAGTGACTAGCGCGCCCAGATAATCTACCCGCCGAGATAGTGCATCAGCCACTTTATTGTACTCTCCCTTGATCGGATCAAATTGGTAGTCATACATGTCTATCACTTGTATCCATCGCTTGAGTGCGTCAGAGAGCACAGGCTGTGTCTTGATCCAGTGCAAGGTCTCATGGTCAGATCTCACGTAGAAGAATCTGTCTAGGAGATAATATCTCCAATTGACCAGCGCTCTATATAGGGCATAAAGCTCATGTTCATACGTGGACTTTGCTAGCTTTTGTGACGTCATCTTCTTACTCATATACTCGATCGGTCTAAACTTCTTCCCCTCCTTTTGCGCAAGGACCGCGCCTATGCCATATTGACTGGCGTCTATGGTCACAACAAAGGGATGTTCAGGATCCGCAAGTTTGAGGACTTCGTAGTGTGTCAGTGCATACTTCAATTTCTTGAAGGGCGCTTCACACTCTTCAGGCCACGCCCAAGGGGTGTCGAGTCGAGTTAGATCTGTTAATGGGGAAGCTATAGTACTATAGTTCTTAACAAACGGACGATAGTAGCCCGTCATCCCCAAAAACGATCTGACCTCAGTAACAGTCTGAGGTTTGGGCCAGTCCCGTATGCTGGCCACTTTGGCATCGTCCGGCCTCAACCCTTCCGCAAAGATTTCATGACCCAAGTACAAGATCTTAGTGCGACCGAACTCGCATTTCTCGAAGTTCATCTTGTATCGGTGCTGTCTTAGGAGACCTAGCACTATTTTCAAGTGCTCAGCGTGCTCCTCTACAGTCCTACTAAAGATAAGAATGTCATCGAGGTACACGACGATAAACTTGTCTAAGTACTCATGAAAGATCCTATTCATAGCGTGCTGGAATGTCCCAGGGGCATTGCATAGGCCAAAGGGCATCACCACAAACTTGTACGGATCGTACCTGGTCTGAAAAGTGGTTTTGTGCTGGTCCTCAAGTCTAATAGCAATTTGATGGTATTCGGACTTTAGACCTATCTTAGTAAAGTACCGGCATCCGTGCACTCTATCCAATAGGTCGTCGATGCGGGGTAGGGGCTCTGCGTTCTTTACGGTGATGGCATTGAGGCCCCTATAGTCAATGCACATCCTTAATGTACCCCCCTTCTTAGGGACAAATAAGATTGGCCCACCATAAGGGGAGGTACTAGGCCGAATCCATCCCTTTTCTGTGAGCTCCTTGAGCTGGCGGCGGAGCTCATCCAACTCCGCAGGAGACATCCTAGAGATTCGTCCCCTAGGCACCTTACTACCTGGAACAACCTCTATCGCATGGACCACCTCCCTTTCCACCACGCCTGTAGGCTCCTAAAAAAGGTCGGAATATTGTGCGACGACTGATTCTATCTCTGGGGTTGTTTTCACGACCTCCCCTTTCTCAGAGACAAAGACTAGATACATGCCCTCCTCGCGATTCTGCGTATAGTAGTTATAGAAAGAGGATGCACACATGCACCCGTAGTTTTCCTCTAGACTGCTAGCTCTAAACTTTTGCAATTTAACGGTTCTACTGTTGGGCAGCTTGTGGATCAACACCTTTCTATCCCAATCAGATTAAGGTTGAGCAACCTCGAGGTAGTACATGCCTAGTAACATATCGAAGGGTGGTTAGTTGCTAACGAGGAATGAGATTTTGTGTCTCACTTCCCCTCCTCCATAAGAGAAGGTACAGACCACGTCCTTGACATAGTTTTTAACTAACATCTGGTGCTTGTTGGCTAGCGTAGAAGCTACAGTTCTGCTAAGCCGCTGCACTTGGTCCCCTAAGCGCAGTCTATCCACACAAGCACGACTGATGAAATTCCGTGTAGAGCCTATGTCTGCGAAGGCACCCACTTTGCGGCCACCTACATCAACCTCTACCACGAAATGTTCACCCTTTGGACCTCTACTGATCATCACCCAAGAGTCTCTGGGGTCCTTCCCTGACCACTCAGACTGTAACTCTTCTAAGGACTCGGACACATCTCTCGAACAGAGCATCGGTGGGTCTGAATGTGTCTACGGGGCGATGTTTGGGTCACTAGCCTTGGCCAATGCCTGAAGTGGGGAAGGCAACGTTACCACTTCAGCACGAGTAAGAGCGGCTAACACTCCTACTGGCCCGAGGTGTTTCCCTACGAAGTGCTTGCAAAAGCACTACCAGGGTTCGAAGATAAGCCCACCACCGTTGGTGAGGCTACCTTCGTAGTGATTTCTTGCCTCTGCACGTTTTAGATGCGTGGCCATGGTTAACACAGTTCATGCACGTGCCCCTAGCAACTCGGTCCCTCCACACCTCATAATCTAAACCAAGTTTTACCCATGCGGGTGTTCCTTGGTCACCCTGACCCATAGACCGGCCTACCTTCTTCTCCCCGGTCCCCCTAGCCTTTTCTTTGATAGGCGCCACGACTCCCCCATTGGAAGTCTCGCTGGCCCCATCATGCTCTGTCTCGTCCCCATAGTCTTGGAAGTCGTCAATTTTTGTCGCCTGACCATCATGGTCGACGAACATTAGCTGACCCTTCTTCTTCCAGTCTCCTTCTTCTTCCAGTCTTGGGGAAGTTTTTTCCTCCTACCATCTCCCTGAGTCTGATGCGCGAACCCAAGCTTTGCCTCTATATCTAAGGCCTTCTTGCTGAAAGAAGCGAAATTGTGTTGGTCGACGTAGGCCTCATCCACCAGCTTAGTCCTAACCTCTGAAGGCAAACATATCAAGTAATCCGTGAGGAGTACCTGTTGGTCGTAGCGCACACCAGGTACCTCGAGCAGACGTTCTACGATATCTGTGATCTCACGAACATTCTTGTAGCTTTTGGCACAAAGATTGTTGATCGCGTCAGTGGCCTTCGGAGCCCCTTGAGGGTCATGCCACCTATTATACACAGACCGTACGAAGTCTTCCAATGCCTAGGCCTGGGCCCGGACATCGAAATTCTGACCATAGCCCTGTTGTTGCACTAAGCCATTCAACCAACGCGCTGCCGATCCCTCTAAAAAGGAAGCAACAATTATGACTTGGCCTCTATATCTAAGGCCTTCTTGCTGAAAGAAGCGAAATTGTGTTGGTTGATGTAGGCCTTATCCACCAGCTTAGTCCTAACCTCTGAAGGCAGACATATCAAGTAATCCGTAAGGAGTACCTGCTGGTCGTAGCGCACACCAGGTACCACGAGCAGACGTTCTACGGTATCTGTGATCTCACGAACATTCTTGTAGTTTTTGGCACAAAGATTGTTGATCGCGTAAGTGGCCTTCGGAGCCCCTTGAGGGTCATGCCACCTATTATACACAAACCGTACGAAGTCTTCCAATGCCTGGGCTTGGGCCCGGACATCGAAATTCTGACCATAGCCCTGTTGCTGCACTAAGCCATTCAACCAACGCGCTGCCGATCCCTCTAAAAAGGAAGCAACAACTATGACTTTATGCTCTGTCCTGGTGAGCTTGTGCCTCACATAGATAGGCACAGTCCTCACCCAGGTATCCAGGTCCTCGCCCTTCTTCCTGTCGCCAGAGAAGGGCTTAGGACTCAGCAAGGGTATCTTGGGCATCCACTGCACAGGTTGGATCTGCCCCCGGGTTTATGAAGTAAGAGTCTCCTCAAAACTATTGCAGAGGGTTTAGGGTTTAGGTTTTTGACAATCAAGGCAAAGAGGGATCAGAGCGGTAGGGATCTCACGAGACACATGGATAGGGACCAGATTTAGACAGAATTGGCTACCTCTATAGCGTCGAGGCCCTTTCTTGCCATATTATGTTCTATCTGACAGACCATTAGGATGGACCTGAGAGGAAAGGGAGAAGAAGGGCAAGCTGACAGTCAATCCTCCACGATGTTGGAGTAATCAATGCTGATCAGGGGTCCTTCAGCCTGATGGAAGGAAGCGTATGTGTGTTCATGATGTAACAGTCTATTCTGACTTGCTGGTGGAATAGGAACCGGACGGATGCTCCCCAGAATGGAATGGAGCCAGGGCCATAAGGACCTGTTTGATAAAAAAAAAAGAAGAAAAAAAAAAAAGGTTGGATCTGCCCAGGCGATTGCTGCAGTGGCTGCATAGCCACTGACACAGGTTGTTGCACGCTAGCCTGCGGCTGTCCAGACACTGGCACCGTAGCTGCCACCGTCCTAGATGGTATGGTAGAAGAGACAAGAACCGGACCACTAACTACTGGTTGACTACTTGAAGAGGGATGCCATACATGGGTGAGAAAGAGGGCCCTACTGGTGACGGCGTCACTGAGGGACCCGCAACCGAAGGGGGAGCAACATTATACTGAGGCTGTCTGATCATAGGACGAGGAGCCTGCAGTGCAGCCAGAATTTGTCTCTGGCCTGCCACTAGTTCAGCCAGCACTTCCTGCTGGACAACCTGCGTTTCAGCCACGCAAAGCATCGAGTTACGCAGTGCTTGCATAGCAGGATCAAGTGTGGACTCATCTAATGCTTCTAGTTTGCTTAGCTCCTGTCTCCTACTCCCTAGTCTAGCTTTTCTAAGTATAGCCCTTTGTCTTCTCTCCACTGCCTCTCTCAGTTGCTTTTGCAACTCATTATGAAGTTCTTCTGCCTGGAGGATCTCATAATCCTCTGCTGAGAGTTGAGGTTGTTGGCTGACTTGCAAGCCAACAGATTGACTAACCATACCTTGGGTACCCTGACTCGTTCCTGACGAAGAGGCCTGGGACACGGCCTGTGACACTGTGGAAGAAGTAGCCATAGTTGTGCCTGTGCTGACCTCGGTCCTAGCCCCAGCACTAGCTGCAGTTGCTCTTGCTCTCCGCAATATCTCCCTTGCCCTGGCTCCCTTCGCAGTCTCCTTTTGTCTCCCGGACCTAACTCCTGGAACGTGAGTGGACGACTGAGAGCGATTCTACGAGTGACCCTAAGGTCTTCGACTAGTTCTTCCTCCTCCTCACTATTGACAACTTCACTCATCAGCTACATTGTGTGTAGTCTAAACTAGAACCCACACTGGATCGTACCTCAGCAGGACATACAACCGATTAATGTTTGACTCCAAATTCGGTAAGCCTAAGAAGAAGTAGTCAAGTGGTAACTAGCAATCAATGCCAGGTCCTACAGGGAATACTAAATCTATTTTTAGATTACTCTGAAACAGATTGCATGCAGCAAGGATTTCTATCTATCTGCAGCTGTCTGTTAGTTGTCAGTCAAGTCTGTAACAACGAAATAATCAAAAATAAAAATAAAACTCCCTGCAGAGATGCATGCTGGATGGCAGTTTATCTAATTGTTGTCACATCGAACAGTTACCGGAATCCAACCCGCCCCTCGTATCCCTCTTGAGTAGTCACTTAGTGTCAACGTCCTAAGCATCTGGTTGAGCAGCGTGTCTGAAGGTGTGCAATCCGGCCCACCCCTGTGCCCCAAGTCTACGCCGAACCTGCCAGCCCCAGCACCTTGTTTATCCTCGCATGCAACGAGCCTTACACCCGGTTTTATCTGGCTTATCAAGTGGCAGTTTAAGGACAGCCCCCAAGGTCGTCAGGAATTATTTAACGCCGCAGACAGGATGGCGATCACAGCCAGAGTCAACACCGAGTCCCCGCCACAAATATTTAAAGATGGTCTGGAAAGCGTCTGTTCAAAGGGCTGGCATGCCGTACATGACCTCTATTGCGCAGCAGCAGAACCAAGGACTTGCAACAAAGCATGCGTGTACTAGTCCCAGCGGGTTGGCATGGTGACCGTGACCCGAGTGCTTCGTCCAGGGCCCTTCAGAGGCTTCGCCCGTCTCCCACCAGCTTGCTGCCCAAGAAGAATGTAGACTCTCAGGTTGAGCGCTCGCGACACATCACATTGCAAGGACTCTCAAGACAAAAGTCACTTCCTCACGGTAAGAAGTAATGAAGAGGGTAGATAAGGAAGAGAGCAACGTACCTCATAATGCTGCCCCCAACCACAGATTTCTCACCAGCAACCTGATGCGCATTTATGATGCCTTTGCCTCGACATAACCAACAGCAGAATGCAGTTCCACCTCGGCTTAAAAGCCACATCAGCGAGCTCTCATCATCCAGCGTACACCCCTAATGTCACCACATAGCTTCCTGGCGTGCCCACACGACCCTGGGCCGCCTACCGTTCAACGCCCAAGCCTTATCACCGCCCCACGCCACATGCGAAGCACCCGCGAAGAACCAATGAAGCGCAGTTCGAACCAGCTCTGAGACCGACTTGCAAGGAAAATGAGCAATAGCGAGATGACAATAAGCAGATTGCACAATCACATTGAAGGCCAGATAGTATCACAGTGTCCAGAAAGCATAAATGCACCAATATAACACCAATGAAGATCCGTAACACTGAAAACCAATGTCAATGAGAGCTTGCTCTCGCCACCACCAACAGGAGTGTCCAGGCCCTATCTCCCTACTTGGCGCTCGGTGCCCAGCCTACTTCCTACACAGCTACTCTCTGCCGACTAATTGACAATGCAACTATTGACGTCAGCAGCCTCCGAAGTACTTGAAGATGTCGCCCATGCAGACCATCGCCAGTACCAGGTATGTGCCCTGACATCATCATCATCATCATCCTTCTCTCTCTCTCTCCCGTCTTACTCCCACGTCTTCCCTTTGTACACCCGAAGACCACCCCTGCGCCTCACTGTAGTCCAAGCCCAACCAGCTATGGAGGCTGGGCTATGGCGCTGCCCTCAGCAGCGCCCTGTTCCCTGCACGACCACACGTGCTAGCACCTCGCCTCTCAGCGCCAGCAGCAGCCCACGAGCGTCCGCTCCAGCAGCGCTGCCGCTAGCATGCGAGTGCCTGAATGAGGCTGCCGGTGGCGAGCTCTTTCCTATATGGAAAGGGCCTGCCTGCCTTCGCAACCTGGCTGGACTGGGCCTGGGCCCAGAAGCTTCCGGTAGGCCCCAGGATGCTGCACTTGTGTTGCAGCTACTGGGCCTTTTTCGGTTGGGCCTCTCAACTGTCAGTGTATGAGGCTGCGATTGTCGCCCAGGGTCTGCATTCTTGAGAAAGGCCCGGAAGGCCATGGAATGTCTCGCTGCTCGGTCTGTGTTTCCCTCAACCAACTGGCGCGACGAAACTGCCTGGACCCCAAATACGAAATTGGCAGCTGAGGGCCTCTTGTGATTTGTTAGGCCCGCCTTCACTTAGGGCGGGCACATTTGCAACAGGGCGACGCTGGACCCGCTTTCCAGCAGGTGACGCTCCCCACCAATAGATGGAGCCCCTCCCCAGGTGCTAGTGGTGTCTGCTCGTATCAGCACCACTAACACTCACAGTTTTGCTTCCCGCCTGCCGTCTCCTTGCATCCTCCTCCTTCTACACCCATCCATACTCCGCATCCAAAGGTCCCGACCGTCGTTCAAACATTTGAGGGAGGGGTGGGGAGCCAGAAGGTGGGGGAAACCTTTGGAACAAAGGGCCGAATCTCAACAGATCGTGATGACAAGGCCACTCTACTGCTTACAACACCCCGTTCCCTGTCTAAGTCGTCTGCAAAGGGTTTGACTCCCCAAGCGAAAGAAATTGCGATGAAGAGACCCCCAGGGCGTCGGTGCTCCGCCGCAGGAGGGACAACTCCGAACTTATG